GAGATTAAAGAACTTGCTCTTGAGATAACATCCTGATTGACAGAATTTTCTGATGAACTGTATAGAATAGTTACTTTTTATTACATTCACAAATCCGATATTACAGTTTCCTATTGGAAGTGTTAATGAGAACATCAGTGACACTCAATATTTACATCTATATCTTCTTGCAGGCCAGTTTAAAATTATACCTCCTGACAATCCTGTTATTGGAGTCATTGGGAAAGGAGTCACCTTGCCCTGTCAGCTGGAAGCTAAGACAACCCCTGAGAGACTTTTTGTTCAGTGGATATTTATTGGAAAATCCCAGAGAATTGTTGTGACCACCTATGATGGAAAAAACAAACAAAATCCAATTAGTGAGGATGAGACATACCAGGGCAGGACAAATTTCTTTCAGACTGAATTTAATAAGGGTAACATGTCTCTTCACCTGAAAAATGTCATGCTCTCTGATGAAGGGAAATACACCTGCAATATCTTTCTGGAGAATTGGTATGATGAAGTGGTGGTTGATCTGAATGTGGCAGGTGAGTGGAATGTCAGATGTTTGCTACTTCTTCCTCCATCCAGTTTTACAATGTCAGTAAGGACGGTGGGGTATAAACAAGTTGGATTAATTTCATCGACGCTCAGCCTAGCTTTTTTGCCAGCAGAATTTGAATAGTAACAGAAATTGTTTTAGTGTCTTACACCTCAGCTTTAAAATGTTAAAGGCAGCAGAAATGAATCTTGCAATAAGGCAAGCAAGTTTTTTTTGCAGAGGTGAAGTAACTGAAGCCTGACTGTGACTGCATTTGGTACTACAACCCATTTCTCTTGCTCTAGCCCTCATTTTCTCTCATCTCAATTTTTCTCCAGCACTCCAGTCTTTATCTGTTGATGATGTCATCCAACGTTTTCTTAGCAGCACATTTCCACCCAGTAATATTATGCTTCTCTCCTTCCTTCCTTCCTTCCTTCCTTCCTTCCTTCCTTCCTTCCTCCTTCCTTCCTTCCTTCCTTCCTTCCTTCCTTCCTTCCTTCCTTCTTCCTTCCTTCCTTCCTTCCTTCCTTCCTTCCTCCTTCCTCCCTTCCCCCTTCCTCCCTTCCTCCCTTCCTCCCTTCCTCCCTTCCTCCCTTCCTCCCTTCCTCCCTTCCTCCCTTCCTCCCTTCCCTCCCTTCCCCCTCCCTCCCTCCCTCCCCCTCCCTCCCTCCCTCCCTCCCTCCCTTCCTCCCTTCATTTCAATTTAACTTGTTCATGGAAATATCAAAAATCAGTCCAAAGATCTGTCTTTATCAGGACTGTAAAAGACATTGCAAAAGGGTCTCACTCTAATGTAACACGGGAAGAGCTATTTACCATCAAATTAATGAGAACTAAAATTCCAAATCTGTTGAATTCACACACTGTTTTTATAGGTAAATCTAGGCAAGATCTTCCCATCATGCACTGTTTGTTCAGAGAACATTTAATTTCCTCTTTGTTGGAGTTTTCTTGTTTGCTGTTCTATAGCTAAAGGTGATGACACTTCCATCTTCCTGGATGGTCACGTCGGTCAGGGCATTGGCCTCACCTGCAAGTCACAGGGATGGTTTCCAGAGCCTGAGGTAGTTTGGCTGGACAGTAAAGGACAGACGCGAAAAGAGAAAGTGATCACCCAAAGAACAAAGACTTCTTCAGGCATTTTTGATGTTGTAACTTCCATGAACCTAGAACCAGGATCTGACAAAGAAGTCTCCTGCAGAATTGTCAATAACCTACTCAACACTGTATGTGAATCCCGAGTCCTGATATCAGGTGAGTAACCACGAGGGTCAATTTCTGTGAGGACCTGTCTGTTGTCTTTCCATTGGCCCTGGAGAGATCCTGGACACCCAACACAGAAATAAATGACAAGTGCTTAGGTGGATAATATAGTAAGAAATCTATCTTTATGCTTTATATTACTCATTATATTCACAATGCATTTTAGCTATAAATATTAATGCAACCATTAGCAGACACCCAAGTTGTCACTGTGAAAATTTTGAGAGGGAAATATTCTGAAGTGCTAATGGGGAAAGCAATGCTCCTACAATGTTGCCAGTGACTTGAGACAGCTGGTTCATGCTGATAGGAAATACTGAATATCTTCTCCCACACCTTTTGTCTCCCTGACATCTCCATGATTACTCTGAGCTTCAGCATGTGCCTCCATCCAGTTTGGATTCCTCAACTGCAAAGTAGACAATTTTATTTCAAAATGAAAGAGGAGAGGAGTCTTTAGCTTTTTTCCCATCTGAAATACCATTACAGATGACTCCTCTTTGCTGAAAACATCTATTCTATAGTTAAAATACTGCACCTAGATGGGCTGCTCAACACATTTTTCTTATAAAGAAGTGACTTCTCCAACATGCCTCTATCCATGGCAGTCTTTGTCTGAATGAATATGGCATATGCACTCTAGGATCATAGCTTGATTGCATTCACATGGATATTAATATTAACTCTTATAGCCTGGAATACCTGGCAAAGCAGTATATGGATGTTTTGGAATTGAGGGGAGATCTTTAACCTTCATGAGTGACAGGAAGAGGTAATAAAAGATACATTACAGCAAATACAATGGCAGTAGACACATATCTTTGACCACTGGACCTGTCTTAGCTGTTTCACAGTCATTAATTGAATGTAACACCTTCTATGTTTTACAGATGTCTTCTTTCCATCCACTTCACCTTGGATGACTGCCTTCATTGCAATTTTATGTTTCAGTATTGCTGTTATTGCTGCTGTGGGTGCTAAACTGAAGGGTAAGTATTTCCACCTACAACAGCTGATGCAGAAGTTTTAATCTGCAATGCAAATGCAGTTAATAAAAACTTAAATAATATTGTAACATCACATTCAGAAAGAAATATATGGGAATTGAGGGGGACAGAGGAAAAAAATGACAGATATATAGTTAAAAGTTGAATATGTGTAGGCTCTTTATGTGTGTGAAAGAACAGAACATCCTTAAGAGGGAGGTAACTTCCATGAGACATAATTTTTTGTAATCACAAATATTTACAGGCACAGAATACGATTTTTGCTTTCAGAGTAGTGGATTTTTGAAAGAAAACACTTTTTGGAATTATGCTATGATATTTTCAACAGACTCATTGTCATGGGGAAAAAAATAAATAATTGTTTTTTCTTGTTTTTCCAGTTAATACTACAAGAAGACAAAAAGCAGGTGAGTAATGAGGAAATTAAATATGAAACCCCACAACTCTTTTTTTTTAAAGTAAACAGTATGATAATAAAGCCGTCATGATCAATATTGAAGTATTTCAGTTTTGGAATGCACAAAGATGAAGTGGCAGTTTTGGACACTGATCAGCTTTAAGTACTGCCACTGCTACTATATCAGGGCGTTTTGCTTCTTCCACTCACACACAGACCTAATGAATCCAATATAGAGACTTTTTATTGAACTGTCTGCCTACTTATATGTGGAAGTTCTCCTTGTCTCTAACAGGATGAAGTAATAGCAGAACTTCCTCCTCAAGTGGAGGGGGAAACATGTCAGGGACAAAATTAGAAAGGCCAAAGCTCATCTGGAGCTCAATCTGGCTACTGCCGTTAAAGATAACAAAAAACGTTTTTATAAATATATCAACACAAAAAGGAGGACTAAGGAGAATCTCCATCCTTTACTGGATGCTGGGGGAAACTTAGTTACAAGAGATGAGGAAAAGGCAGAGGTGCTCAATGCCTTCTTCGCCTCAGTCTTTAGCGGCAATACCGGTTGTTCTCTGGATACCCAGTACCCTGAGCTGGTGGAAGGGGATGGGGAGCAGAATGTGGCCCTCACTATCCATGAAGAACTGTTTGGTGACCTGCTACGGCACTTCGATGTGCACAAGTCAATGGGGCCGGATGGGATCCACCCAAGGGTACTGAGAGAACTGGCAGAAGAGCTGGCCAAGCCCCTATCCATCATTTATCAGCAGTCCTGGCTATCGAGGGAGGTCCCAGCTGACTGGCGGCTAGCAAACTTGATGCCCATCTACAAGAAGGGCCGGAGGGCAGACCCGGGAAACTACAGGCCTATCAGTTTGACCTCAGTACCAGGGAAGTTCATGGAGCAGATCCTCTTGAGAGTCATCATACAGCACTTGCAGGGCAAGCAGGCGATCAGGCCCAGTCAGCATGGGTTTATGGAAGGCAGATCCTACTTGATGAACCTGATCTCCTTCTATGACAAAGTGACACGCTGGGTGGACGAGGGAAAGGCTGTGGATGTGGTCTACCTTGACTTCAGCAAGGCTTTTGACACCGTCTCCCACAGCATTCTCCTCAAGAAACTGGCTGCTCGTGGCTTGGACTGGCATATGCTTCGTTGGGTTAGAAACTGGCTGGATAGCCAGGCCCAAAGAGTTGTGGTAAATGGAGTCAAGTCCAGTTGGAGGCCAGTCACTAGTGGCACTCCCCAGGGCTTGGTGCTGGGGCCGGTCCTCTTTAATATCTTCATCAATGATCTGGACGAGGGCATTGAGTGCACTCTTAGTAAGTTTGCAGATGACACCAAGTTAGGTGCGTGTGTTGATCTGCTCGAGGGTAGGAAAGCTCTGCAGGAGGATCTGGATAGGCTGCACCGATGGGCTGAGGTCAACTGCATGAAGTTCAACAAGGCCAAGTGCCGGGTCCTGCACCTGGGGCGCAATAACCCCAAGCAGAGCTAGAGGCTGGGAGATGAGTGGTTGGAGAGCTGCCAGGCAGAGAAGGACCTGGGAGTGATGGTGGACAGTCGGCTGAATATGAGCCAGCAGTGTGTTCAGGTGGCCAAGAAGGCCAACGGCATCCTGGCTTGTATCAGAACCAGTGTGACCAGTAGGGCTAGGGAGGTGATTGCCCCCCTGTACTTGGCTCTGGTGAGGCCGCACCTCGAGTACTGTGTTCAGTTTTGGGCCCCTCGCTACAAGAAGGACATCGAGGTGCTTGAGCAGGTCCAGAGAAGAGCGACGAAGCTGGTGAGGGGTCTGGAGAACAAGTCCTACGAGGATCGGCTGAGGGAGCTGGGCTTGTTCAGCCTGGAGAAGAGGAGGCTCAGGGGTGACCTTATTGCTCTTTACAGATACCTTAAAGGAGGCTGTAGCGAGGTGGGGTTTGGTCTATTCTCCCACGTGCCTGGTGACAGGATGAGGGGGAATGGGCTGAAGTTGCGCCAGGGGAGTTTTAGGTTAGATGTTAGGAAGAACTTCTTTACTGAAAGGGTTGTTAGACACTGGAACAGGCTGCCCAGGGAAGTAGTTGAGTCACCATCCCTGGAAGTCTTTAAAAGACGTTTAGATGTAGAGCTTAGGGATATGGTTTAGTGGGGACTGTTAGCGTTAGGTCAGAGGTTGGACTCGATGATCTTGAGGTCTCTTCCAACCTAGAAATTCTGTGATTCTGTGATTCTGTGAAGTGCATGACATTTTTCCCATTCCAGTAGCTCATTTTTCTTTGGGTATTTCCAATGTTTTTCTGAATGAAATATACCTATGGTAGAATGTTTTAGTTGTTCCACAATGCCCATGGATTCAACTTCCAAATAGCATTTCAGACTTTTGACTGATATCATTAATTTTTTATTGTTTTTAGATAATGAATGCTTAGTTAAATAACTAATGTTTATGTGTGTGTCTGTTGTTTTATCCTCAGAAAAAAAGACGAATGATCTTAAAACAGGTAAATACTCCTTGAAAACTATCAGGACATCTTGGAAACATAAAATCACATACACTGTTCTAGGGCATCTTGGTATTTCTAGATGTGAATCTCAGAAGTAGTATTCCTTATCTACATAATGGATTTAATGAAAATTGGCCATATTGTCCCTTATAATTAAATGCTATTGACCCCTTCATAGGCAGTTTGAAGCAGAATTAATCACTCAGGGTAATAATTTAATTCTTGAAAGATGGTGAAGGGACTGATACACCAGGGACTAGTATGATTGCATAAATAACTCCAGGCATAACCTTATTTATTCTGTAACTGCAATGAAAATACCATTGTTCTATAAGAGATTTATGATCCAATTTTTCATATCTGGTTTAATCTGCTTATAATTCCCAAAATGACAAGAGATTGTTTTGTTGTTGTTTTGTTTCTTTGCTTGTTAGTATTCTATATAATAAACCTTGAACTGTTTACTGCTAAATTGCATCCCATGGATTTAAATCAGATCTTCCAGTTCTTGCCTGAATAAACAAATAACAATTCCTGCTGCAATTTCTGCAAATGTCCATGTCATCAGCACATATTTCTTGTCTAAACCAAATAATGATAACACAAATCAAGTATGCCCCAGACATATTCTAGGGGATATCAGTTTTCTCATTTTGGCCTTTCAGCTTACTAGTAAGATTCAATTTACTGAAGCCTCTAAAATAATAGAAGTCTCTGTGTCTTCATTTGTTCTCTTTGGGATCAGGTACAGGAACCAGGAACATTTGGAGAGAAATCAGATTCAAGCTGCCTGAGAAAGCTATTGCTGGGGAGATTTGATGGGGAGAGGGGGTGTGTGGATTTCCTACATGGACTATAATGGAAAGCAACTAGATGAGATTGAGACATTCATCTGGTAGATATCTAAAAGAGGCCAGGGTAATGTAATTTCATCTCTTCAGATGTGAAGTCTCCTCAGAATTTGTGTGTTAAGTTACCTATATTTCATTTGACTTCATAATTCTCCATGCAACTTAACCTCCTTTACTTCACTAAATAGATTAGGTTGATTATAGCTGTTCCTATGTTAAAATGTTGGGAGATATATACAAATATGGGAGAAAAAGTACTCAAGAAAAAAAAAAATCACTTTTAAAATATGATATTGGAATAGATACAGAAATGACCATATATAATTTCTTTCAGAAAAAAACAATCTGGAGGAACAATTAGGTAAGAACCTGGTTTTCATGTTCCTTTTGGTACTTCTAGTATGCATGCTACTTAAATCCCCAGTAAAGCAAATGAGATGTACAGTATTTTGATATGAATTATTTCTGGATGTTTCTGTTCCATTCAAGAAAATTTATTATGGCTTGATTTCATGTTGGATAAATTCAAATAAATAAATTTAAAGATTCAGAGATCCATGAGATCCATTTCCCATTAACTTGTTGAAATTAGTAATTGAGGGCAATGACAAAATTTTAAAACTTCTTTGATAATTTTTAACTTCTAAATTAAACCAACTGTCCAGCCCAGTAATGGTTTTGTTTCTGTTTTTGTTCTTTTTACCCCCATTGGTCAACTTAGAGGCACAGAAGAACACATTCAAAGGAGGTAAATATAACATGGCAATTAAGACAATTTTTATCAAAATTTATAAGTGGATATATACATGAGAATGAAAATTAACTACTTAATTAGAAAACATAGAATCATAGAATAGAATCATAGAATATCCTGAGTTGGAAGGGACCCTTAAGGATCATCAAGTCCAACTCTTGACACCGCACAGGTCTACCCAAGTTCAGACCATGTGACTAAGTGCACAGTCCAATCTCTTCTTAAATTCAGTCAGGCTCGGTATGACAGCTTATTTCTAGTTAAATGGTTTTAGTCACTCCTAAAAGTACTATATAGAGTGGTTTTATTTCTAAGAGTCTTGTGATGTTTTTCTGCCTCTGTGTAATCTTTCTGCCTGGAGTCAGTAAGGCTCTACTGGGATTTCTTGAACAGCTCTTACAGCTGTTGTTCTTTCTCACTTTCTGGTCAAATCATTAAAACAGCTGTAACTAGCATCACAAAGACAAAATGAATGCACTGGTCTCCAGAGAAATACTGACTTAAAAGTTTAACAACCTAGAAAATAAGTTCTAAGGAAAATTCTGTTTACTTTTTTTTTTTTTTTCTACATTACTTACTAGCCCTCCACCAAGATACTTGGAGAGTGAGAAATCTCCTTGTGATTTCATTTCACTTATTTAAGCTATTCTTTTGCAGCAACCTCTGAGAACATAAAGCAACTTGGTAAGAAAACATCTTGTATAAATGTTATATTTTTGTGAACCTTACAAAAAATAAAGAAAGTATTCAGGTCTGTCTGATTGTGTCATCTCTGGGGGTGAGAGTAATGCCAATATCTCATCACAGTGCAGTTATATTTCCCCCTCCAAGACAGGTATAACAAGGCATTCTATGATACCTACCTGAAGTGTGAATAATCCTCCTTGCCAGAAGCTTTTATACCTAAAACTACAATAAATTTACAGACACTCATAACATTGTATGAGTTGTTTCATTATATATCATGTCTACCTAAATCATGGAATTGACAACAAAGAAGGAATTAATTTTCTCCACGCAACCCCATGGGCTGACATAATATACTCTAAAATGCTTGTTAAATGCAAATAAATTGAGACTGTAGAGGCCAAGTTTGTGTCCTTCACCTTACAACCAAGTCCCAAAAATTCTAACTGCAGAAATGCAAAAAAGGACTAATATTGACTTGTGCTGTAGCTTGTCTTCTATACTGTGGGTATGTCTAACTTTAAAAAACTGAACCAGGAGAGAAAAACCCTCACAAAATTAGTGTCAATAACTAGAACATCTTTTCCTTTCAGATCGACTAAAAGATGACTTGGGTAAGTGGTTTAAAAATTATATTTTATCGCAATATGCACTGCTACTTTAGGTAGAATAAAGTCAACCCTGGGACTAAATTAGCGTCATAAAAATTCAAGCATAAGGCAGAAATAATATAGGCTGAAAAGTATCTAATTGCCCTACAGAACCATAAAGTGCTATTGTCTCTTTCCTTTCTGCAGACTTCTGGGAAGCCCGGAGCCATGCAGGTGAGCTGACAGGAAAAAGGGTGTGAGCTGCACATAGGTCAGGGCAATCCCAAACAGGAGTACAGACTGGGAGAAGAACACATTGAGAGCAGCCCTGTGGAGAAGGATTAGGGGATTCTAGTGGACTAACGTCTCAACATGAGCCAGCAGTGCACACTTGTAGCCCAGAAGGAAAAATGCATCCTGGGATGCAACAAAAGAGGAGTGACCAGCAGGTCAAGAGAAGTGATTGTCCCCCTCCACTCTGCCCTCGTGAAGCCCCATCTGGTGTACTTCGTCCAGGTTTGTGTCCCCCAGCACAAGAAGGATATGGACCTGTTTGAGTCCAGAGGAGAGCCACAAAGATGATCAGAGGGCTGGAGCACATCTCCTCTGAAGAAAGGCTGAGAGAACTGGAGATGTTCAGCCCAGAGAAAAGAAGGCTCTGGGGTGACCTCATTGAGACCTTTCAGTACTTAAGGTCTTATAAAAAAAGATGGAGAAGGACTCTTTACTGAGGTAGATAATGATAGGACAAGGGGAAAGAGTCTCAAACTAAAAGAGAATAGATTTAGATTAGCCATTAGGAGGAAATTCTTCAATGCAAGGGTAGTAAGGCAATACAACAAGTTGCGAAGAGAAGTTTTGGATGCCCCATCCCTGGAGATATTCAAGGCCAGGCTGAAAGGGGACTTGGCCAACCTGATCTAGTGGTTGTCACCCCTGAATATGTCAGGGGGGCTGGAGTTAGATGATCTTTAAGGTCCCTTCAAACCTGAGCCATTCATGAGTCTGATTCTATAATTCTATGAAAAGGGGGTTTCCATCTGTCCAAGTTACCCTGACATAAAAATGCCATGACTTTAGAGATTGGTAGGCTGAGCTGGAGTCACAGGAACATGCCATCACCTGTGTTGGATAAAAGGAAATGAGGCTAAGAAGGGGTAGTTGTGAAGGCTGAGAAAAGGAGTTGCTGAAAAGAGACAAAGGAGAGGGTTGTGTGTGGACACCATTCCAGAGAGGATGGATGGTAACATGGAAAAGAGAAAGCAAGAAATTTATTGTAAAGTGAGTGATGAGAGAGAGAGTCGTCTGGACTTAGACCCCAAGAGAGTACATGGCTATGAGAGCTCTGAAGGTACCTGTTGCTTCCTCAGTGACCGTTGCATGCCCTGTTTGGGAGAATGTATCAGTTCTTTGTTGAATCACACCAGGACTGCTCAGACCCTCAAAGATTTCAGCCCATAGTCCCCTACAGAGACAGGTCCCTGAGTGGCTCTGCTCACTGGATTCTTCTTGTTTTCTCCTCCAGTGTTCATTGACGTGAATCCTGACTGCCGAGTCCTAGAGCTCCCAGTGCCGGGGACTCCAAAAGTTGAGGACACCTCATCTGAGCCTGAAAGCCTGAGCAGTCCCTCCACAGTCCCTGTTCTGGTGGGGAAGGAAGGGTTTGCAGCTGGGAAACACTACTGGGAGGTGGAGGTGGACCAGCAGCAGGACTGGGTGCTGGGGGTGGTGAGGGAGAAAGAGAGGCAAGAGGAGGAAGGGACAGATGTTGGTGAGGACTTCTGGGCTCTGCACAGATCCCAGGGAGAGTTATTCTCTAGCAAGAAAAACAGCAAGATTGAGAAGAAGAATATGAATTGCTCAGTGATTGGCGTGCTTCTGGACTTGGAGGAAGCACAAGTCAAATTTTATGAAGCAGGACAGAAGAATATCATAGTGAAAATCCCTCTAAGCCTTGGAAAGGAACATGCAGAAATGTTTTACCCATTTCTGTCCAAAGAGGAAGGGATAGTCAAACCTGTTTGCCATCAGCAAAAAATTCCTGTTCCATTAAAGGCTCTATAAGTTGGACTCTCACATTTAATGGATTAGGGAAAGACAGTTCACTTGAAAGTAAAACAGAAAATTTGAGAACTGATATTTCAGTAATATAAAATTACTGAAGTAATTGTAATAGTAATGTAAAGAGAAGAAACTTGTGTTTAAAGCAGGAAGAAAAATCAAGAAAGAAAAAAAGAAACGGGTAGTATAAACAAGATTGGGATCAGATTCAGAAACTCTGGTAGTTATTTGAGCTCCCTTTACAGGACATGACAGTCTTATGAGTACAGCAACAGGTTCAGTTGATTGAAGAGAGTAGTAATTTAGGTGGTGCTATATAATCTGTCTTTCCTACAGTTTTCTCTAGAAGGATTTGCATCATTTTCTTTTTATTTTTATTTTTGTCATAACTGTCAGCTGGAAGTATCTCAAACAGCACCTACCTCTAGGCAACATGACTTATTCTCCCTGTTCTACATTTAAGTTCAACATCATCTGTAAAGTTAGGCAAATTAAATTTCACCATCTTTATAACAAAAAATAAATAATTAAATCTTCCTTGGAGAAAAGTACCTTTTTGAAAACTCTTATTTTATATGTTAAGCTCATTAGAAGATCTATGATAAGATAAATCATTAAAAGATAGATATTTTCCAAAGATCTGCTAGAATTTGGCAGGGTATTGAGCATACCTTGCTTTGAGAAGCTTGACATGAACCTGCAGCGTGTGCTTGCAGCTCAGAAAGCCAACCAAATCCTGGACTGCATCAAGAGGAGTGGCCAGCATGTCAAGGGAGCTGACTGTGCCCCTCTGCTCTACCCTTGTGAGGCCCCACTTGGATTCCTGCACCCAGGTCTGAAACTCCCAGCCCAAAAAGGATTTGGACCTGTTAGAGGAGGGCCATAAAGATGATGAGAAGGTTGGAGCACATCTCTGAAGAAAGTCTGAGAGAACTGGAGATATTCAGCCTGGAGAAGAGAAGGCTCTGGGGAGACCTCATTGCAGCCTTTCAGTACTTAAAGGAGTCACATTAAAAAGGTGGAGAGAAACTTTTTGATGCAGCAGATAGTGATAGGATAAGGGGGAATTGTTTTAAAACTCTCGCCGAGGCAGTCAGCTCTGGGGCAGACGCGTTCTGCAGTGGAGTGGGGGATCGTTGTATGCAAGGTGTTTTCTGGTTCAAAGCCACACGAGGCAGCCGAGGAAGCCACCAGGACACAGAAGCCTTCGCAAGGGCAACAGATGAGGCTTGGGCAGAGCCAGCAACACCCCCCTCTGTCATACAAAGACAGTCCCTAGGGAATGCAAGTGACCGGGAGCGCGGCGAACAGGGTGGACAAAGAGAATGTGGCGTGGCAGTCAAGGCATGGTGAGGCAGTTTCTGTGGGCAGGGTGAGGAGGGAGGGTGGAATATCCCCCCCATTCAGGAGATGGGTTCACCTATCAGCTGCCAACCAGATGGCAAACACAGACATGGTCTCCACCAGGCAGAAAGTGCTTACCAAAAAGACTTGAACCCAGGATGAAGAGACAGATGAGGCTTTTCTGTAAACATCTGGCGAAAGTCATGCAATCGCAAGCACTTCTTCTCATTGGGAATTCAATGTCCTGTCTTACTAGAGATTCCAGACCTCAATAAATGCGGTGCTTGCTTTTTGCCTTGAGGTTCTTCGCCTGAGGGTGGCTCTTCTTCCTTTGAGGTACCTGCTTATGTTTAGCACAAAAGATAATTTCTTATTTTCTGCAGCAAGTGCACACCCCCAGATCATGAGCCTTGACTCTCAGCTGTGACAAGCACAATGCAGACCTACGTGCAAATGCTGACAATAAAGGCATTCTGAAGCACTCTCCTAGGGAAATTATTTGGATTTTCACTTGCCCCTGTTCTTTCAGCTACCCTTCCCAGCCTGCTGCACCCCATGGGAGGTACTGCAGACACACAGGAAGGATATCATAGGAGTGCCAGATAGCTCTGATCATAGCCCAGATATATTTATTTTTTTTTCTTTTTCAAGTGCAAACCATTATTTTGCAATTAGCAATGACCAGGGTCTTTCCTCTGTCCCCAGTGCAGAGCTGACCTCAACAACATCATGGCCAAGGAGAACAATGCAAACAATAAATCTTTTGAGTAAGTGTGTTTTAACATAAAGCTGAAAAAAAATAAAATAATATTTTAATCCTAACCCCAACCTTATAATCTAGAATGCTATTGAGATCATGATAAGGACACCACAGCCTTGACACCCGCATGCAAACTTCTAGTGACATTATAGAAGTCCCAGACTGCCATACAATGCAACCCAGAAGGGTATGGGTCTCCTCTGCATGAGATCTGTCCCACCTAAATGTTTATTTCTGGTACTCTGGAGCTTCTCAAATGACAGGAGGCCCCAAGAAGTGGTAGATGCCCCATCCCTGGAAGTGTTTAAGGCCAGTTTGGATGGGGCTTTGAGCAACTTTGTCTAGGGCAATGTGGAATGGCTCAGACCCAAGGGGGGTGATCAGTGGTGCAACGCCAAACTGAATGCAGCTAACTAGTGGTGTAACCCAAGGATCTAAACGCAGTCCAATTCCATTCAAAATCAGCATTATTCTCAGGATGCTGGAGCAGAGGTTTACAAGCTTGTAGCTGACACCACAATGGGGATTCACTCACCGGGGAATGAGGGAGTAGCTCCATCCACCCAACTCTGTATATTCACTTCCAGGAAAATTTTCCTGGATGCTTGTGCTGTGAAACAGGAATGCATGGGCCTGAAAGAAGCTGTGGAGCAAGTGTGTTGATGTGGGTTGGAGAGGTGAGGGACATTCCTTGCAGGAAGGAGCCTGAAACCCACCTCCCCTCCAGCCCCACACCCAAACATCTCTTGCTCAGTTATCACCCCACTTTCATTTCCCCTATTCCCACCATGCAATCCTGCAGCATCATGCCTCCCCACTGAGAGACTCCTCTCCAGCACAAACTTGTAGCGGGTTTACGTTGCAAGGTTTTGGTAGCAGGGGGGCATAGGGGTGGTTTCTGTGAGAAGGATCGAGAAGCTGCCCCATGTTTGCTAAGGGTCCCACTGCTGACCAGAGCCAAGACAATAAGTGATGTTGTTTTGCGCCTCTGTGAGAGCATATTTAAGACAGGGAAAAAAATGCTGAGCCATACAGCAGCTGGGAGAGTGAGAGGAGTGAGGAACAGCCTTGCAGGTGCCAAGGTCAGTGAAGAAGGAGGGGGAGAGGTGCCCCAGGCACTGGAGCAGAAGTCCCCTGCGGCCTGTGGTGAGGACCATGGTGAAACAGGATGTCTCCCTGCAGCCCATGGAGTACCACGGTGGAGCAGGGTTCCACGCTGCAGCCCATGGAGGAGACCATGGTGGAGCAGGTGGCCCTGCACCGATGGAGGCTGCCGCCTGTGGAAGACCCCTGCTGGAGCAGGCCTCAGGCCAGACCTGTAGCCCATGGAGAGGAGACCACACAGGAGAAGGTAACCTGGCAAGAGCTGCTGCCGTGGGGGAGCCAGGTTGGAGCAGTTTGCTCCTGAGGGATGGACCCCGTGGTACAGACCCATATCTGGAGCAGTTCTGGAAGAGCTGCTGCCTGTGGGAATCCCACGCCAGATCAGTTCATCAAGGACTGCATCCCGTGGGTGGGACCCCACAGCACAGGGGACAAGAGTGACTGAGAAAGAGTGTCAGAGAAGAAGCACTGTAGACTGATCATAACCCCCATTCCCCTGCCCCCTGCGCCACACGGGGGGAGGAGGTGGAAGAGGGTGGATGTGGGGGAAGGTGCTTTTGGTTTCTTTCCTTTGTTTCTCACTTCTCTAGATTGTTAGTAATAAGCAATAAATCTTACTATCTCCCTATGCTGAGTCTGTTTTGCCTGTTACAATAATTACTGCATGATCTTGTCCTTATCTCGTCCTTTGAGCCCTTTTAATCATTTTTCCTCCCCATTCCTCTTTGAGGAGGGTGAGTGAGAGAGCGGCTGTGGTGGAGCTCAGCTGCCCACTCGAGTGGAACCACAACACCTGCACAAACTTGCCCTGGAGTCCCCAGCTGCACACCAAGGCCTCAGATGCCAGCACTGGGAGCTGCACAGTGGGGACACCGTGGTTCCTTCCAGATCCTTGCAGGTGTTGCTGTGGGATGGCAAAAACCCCATTGAGCAAGGCTGGGGATGGGCTGTGGGTGTGGGGGCCAGCCATGCTGAGACCCCATCCCCATGAACAAGCCAGCTCATGTAAATTCCCAGACATAGGTTTCTAAAGGAGAGAGGTACGGCTTGGAGCAGTAGTGGCACAGCCCACGGTCCATCCACATCCCCAGCCCTTGCTCTCTGTGCCCTGGAGAGCCCCTTTTTTGGCAGCAGAGGTGATACTATAGAGATAGGGGAATCCCTTAAATGCAGCACAGGAGGAGCACTGAACCAAAATTTCTTATTCATCTTGGGCCCTGATGGTGTTCAACACAGGAGCACAAGCCAGGAGGCCACCTAAAGAGATGGAGCAGGGATTCCTCTCTTTGAAGCAGGAGGGGCAGCAGAGCTGCAAAATGCTTTGTGTGCCTCGCAGGAAAGATTCCTTTTGGGGTGTTCACACTCAGGGAACAAAACTCCTCTCCCTTCCCATCTTCAGCACACACACCTCTCCCTTTTGCCACCCATCCCCATGCTCACACTCACCTGGGGATCTGCAGAGGTCCTGGGTGGTCATGCCAGCACCTGCACCATGGGGCACAGAGGGTTTTGCTTAGGGGGGACAAGACCTGGTGCACCCACATGCCCTCACCCATGCCTCTGCTGCTGGGTAATTGCTAGGCAAGCCACCTTCCCACCACTGTGTCTTGAACAGCACCAAAGAGGTCTCTTCCCTGGGGCCATTCCAAGCCCCTTTTTGTTGTATTGCTGTTCCAGGTAGAGGTCCCTGGATCACAAAGCACTCCAACACCTCCCTGTCTTCACACTATGGCTCCAAACCCCTTTTAAGAGCCATGAATGTCATCCATGGGATAGATCACATACAAAGAAAGAGAAAAAAAAATAGAAAAGAAAACAAAACAAAAGAAAAAAAACATTGTCTTCCCAAAAAGTACCTTCTGTTCAAAGAGAATGAAGAGGAGTCTTCCACAAATTTTCAGGACAAATCTGCTGTTATCTCAACCCTCGCAGACCCAACTATCCCATGGTAAGAGAACCCCAGACCCTGCTGCCAACAACAGCTCCACAAACAATTGTTGACTTCTACTCCCAGTGCTTCACCTCCTCACACCCCTTGCCCTCCCCATCAGGATGAAGGGCAACACTGCCTGCAGCCTTGATAAATGCCCCAAATCTCTAATATCACTTTGGACTTGGTGCAGGAATCCCCTGGCAGCATCGTTTGTACAGACATTGAAGAAAAGGGGAGTGATGTGGTCAGAAGAGGGCAAAGCAGTGAGCAGTGTTGGGAAACACTGCTCACTGCTTTGAGAACTGCTCACTGCTTGGAGAACAAGTTCTACGAGGAGCGGCTGAGGGAGCTGGCTCAGGGGCAACCTTATCACTCTTTATAAGTACATTAAAAAAGGCTGTAGCGAGCTATGGGTTGGCCTGTTCTCCCATGTGCCTGGTGACAGGATGAGGAGGAATGGGCTGAAGTTGCGCCAGGGGAGTTTTAGGTTGGATGTTAGGAAGAACGTCTTTACTGAAAGGGTTGTTAGACATTGGAACGGGCTACCCCGGGAAGTAGTTGAGTCACCATCCCTGGAAGTCTTTAAAAGACGTTTAGATGTAGAACTTAGTGATATAGTTTAGTGGAGGACGTGTTAATGTTAGGTCAGAGGTTGGACTCGATGATCTTGATATCCCTTCCAACCTAGAAATTCTGTGATTCTGATTCTGTGAAACAGAGCAGGAGGGCTTTGCAAGGGTGTTGCTCATGAGAAACAGGTAAAAACAACACGTGCTGTGGTGTCTGAGAGGACAGAAATAAAAGCGGTGGCTCAACAAACGCAACAGATATAGCAGGGGCTGAGGCCAGACCCACTCTGATGAGAGCTTCTGCTGTGGGCAAGGCTCAGGTGGCCACAGGAAGCCCACAGCACATGTCCCACCTGCACTTTAGGCCATTGTCCCACTGTCCCCAGCTAACAGCAAAGCAGAAACCTGAAGTAGACGCTGCTCCTTAAAATCAGTGCCCCAAAAGATGCTGGGGCAGGCGCCATGGGCAAGGCTGTCTCCTCCTGGCCCTGCCATCCTGCTGCTGGTGCTCTGTGAGTTGGGGCATTGCTGGGGGTGGGGGCTGAGGGCTGAAGGGCTGCTGCAGGGGGTAGGACAAGCCCGTGGTGGGCACAGGGGAGGATGGAACAGTGTGTGTGCAGGGCAGACATGCAGCACTTAGAGCGAGACCTTCAGAATGCTGAATGCAGAATAGATTGTCACTTTCTCCTCCACTCCGTCTCATGAGGAAGCTTTAGGCTGCAATGAGGTCTCCCCTCAGCCTCCCCTTTTCCAGGCTGAACAGGACAAGCGACCTCAGCCTCTCCTCATACGAAAGATGCTCCAAGCCCAATATCATCTTTGCGGCTATTGTAGTTTAACCCACCTGACATCTAAACACCACAAAGCCATTCACTCACCCTCCCCCATTCCTCTCTGGGATGGGGGAGAGAAACAGGAAAGTGAAGCCTGTGGGTTGAGATAAGGACAGGTTATTAAGACAGGAAAATAATAATAATAATTATAATAATATCTATAATAATAACAATAGTGATGATAATAGAACTACTACTAATAATGTGTACAAAACAAGTGATACACAATGCAATTGCTCACCACCTGTGGACTGATGCCGAGCCTATCCCTGAGCAGCAGCCACATCCATTCCAGCTAGCCACCCCTATATATTGTTCAGCATGATATCAGATGATATGGAATACCACTTTGGCTAGTTTGGGTCAGCTGTTCTGGGTCTGTCCCCTCCCGGCTCTTGCTGCAACACCAGCCTGCCCACTGGCAGAACAGAGCGAGAAGCTGAAATGCTCTTGGTGTAAGCACTGCTCTGCAACAATTAAAACATCAGCGTGTTATCAACACTTTTCTCATCCTAATCCAAAACACAGTACCCTAACAGCTACTAGGAGGAAAATTAACTCTAGCCTAACTGAAACCAGGACAGTGGCCCTCAGCTGGACTCTTCCCAGGAGATCTCTGTCTTTTTTGTAGTGGGGAACCCAGAACTGGACACAGTACTCCAGGTAAGGCTGGAGCAGGACAGAGTAGAGGGGGGGGATCACCTCCCTTACCCCACTGTCCACGCTTCTTTTACTGCACGCCAAAATCCCATTGGCCTTCTTAGCCACCAGGGCACACTGCTGGCTCATGGCTAACCTATCGTGCACCAGTACACCCAGGTCCTTCTCTGCAGAGCTCCTCTCCAGCAGGTTGTCCCCCTGCCAGTACTGATACATGTGGTTGTTCCTTCCCAGGTGTAGGACTCTATGCTTGCTCTTATTAAACTTCATTTGATTTCTTCCTGCCCAGCTCTCCAGCCTGTCTTGTTGAATGGCACCACAGCCTTCAGGTATGTCAGCTACCCTTCCCAGCTTGGTATCATCGGCGTACTTACTGAGGGTGGATGCAATTCCTTCACCAAGGTCATCGATGGAGATATTGAACAAGACCAGACCCAGTCCAAATGCTTGGGGAACACCGCTAGTCACAGGTATCCAGCCGGACTCTGCGTTGCTGATCACCACCTTCTGAGCTTGGCCAGTCAGCCAGTTCTCAACCCATCTTACTGCCCACTCATCCATCCCACACTTTCTCAGCTTTGCTAGCAGGATGTCGAGGAGACAGTATCCAAAGTCTTGCTAAAGTCTAGGTAGATGACATCCACGGATCTCCCTCCATCTACCCAGCTGGTGATGCCAGAGTGACATGGTCAGACGAAGGCAAAGCAGTGAGCAGTATTGGGACAACGATCAGGAGGGCATTGCAGAGAGAATGCTGCCCCTGAGATACAAATAGAAGCCACGTGTGCTGCGGTGTCTGAGAGGACAAAAATAACAGCGGGGGCTCTCAAAATACAACGGATACAGCAGGGGCTGAGGCAGGGCCCTCACTGATGAGAACCTTTTAGTGTGGTCCAGGCTCAGGCAGCCACAGAAAGCCCACAGTACGGGTTCTGGCTGCACTGCAAGCCTCCGTCCCACTGTCCCCAGCCCAGAGCAAAGCAGACACCTGAAGCAGACACTGCTCCCCAAAAGCAGCGCCCAAAAAGATGCTGGGGCAGGCGCCATGGGCAAGGCTGTCTCCTCCTGGCCCTACCGTCCTGCTGCTGGCCCTCTGTGAGTTGGGGCATTGCTGGGGGTGGGGGCTGAGGGTGGAAGGGCTGCTGCTGGGGGTAGGACAGACCCATGCTGGGCACAGGGAAGGAGGGGACAGTAGGTGTGCAGGGCACGCATGCAGCAGTGTGGGGCAGAATTATCTGGGGGAAAGCAGGATGGGGATGGCTTCCTCCAGCTATGACACAGATCTTGCAAGGGGCCCTTTTCTCCAGCACTAAAAAGTTGTCTGGAGTCTTAGAGCAAGACTTTCAGAATACTGGATGCTTTGGGGAGCTATGGGACTTAATGTGGAACAGGAAACACATCCAGAGGAAATTGGAATGGTTGCTAAGGGTGGACATGGAGTAGTTTCTGGAAGGAGACCTGCAGGTAGGAAGGAGACTTCTCAGTCAGGATCTAGCAGGGGAAATGTGGGCAGCGAGGTGGGGGTGAGCCAGGTCACTTCCCCCCTAAGCAAAGTCCTCTCTGCCCCATGCTGCAGGTGCTGTCATGACCACTCAGGACATTTGCAACTCCACACGTGATGGTGAGAGTGGGGATGGGTGGCAGAAGGGAGATGCGTCGGGGGTGGAGATGGGAAGGGAGAGGGGATTTGTTCTCCATGTCTGAAGCCCCGGACAAGAGACTTTTCAACATTTGGGATCCTGCTCACTTTGCATCTTTGCCGTCAATAAAGCTGCATAGGGAATCCCTGCACTGTCTCTCCAGGTGACCTCACAGCTCCGGCCCTCTTCCTGAACACCTCTAGTGCTCAGGAAGGGGAATCGTTTTCGCTTCGCTGTACCATTGATGGTCATTCAGCCCCTACCCGAATTGTATTCTGCAAGGACAGGATGGAGGCACACAGCCTGAAAGGGCAACTAGGAAAACTGATCTACACCATCACTCTGAAGGTCACCCAGGGGAGCGAGGGGACGTACATGTGTGGATACCAGCTCAAAGATGACAACAACCGAGTAAGGAGCTCTGCCCTCAGTGCTGGCCGCATCCTGCATGTCCCCGGTGAGACACGGCCCCAGGCTGGAGGGGTGAGAAGGGACGGAGGTAGTTGCCACCACATGGCTGTGCTGAGGCTGGAGCTGTGTGCTGCAGCAGGCAGGGCATAGCTCTGGGACGGTTCCCCCGTGGGTGTTCCCTCTCCTCCAAGGCAGCCCCTCTAGAGAGAGTTGCTCTCAAGGCTTCCCCTGTTCCTGCAGCATCACATTTATGGCAGATATTGGCACTATTCAGGGCCCATGCACAGAGAGCAAGGGCTGGCTGGGGATTTCAATGGATGCTGTGCTGAGCCAGGGATGCTCCAAGGTCTGCCCTGTACACGGATGCTCTTATGGCAGGGGAAGTGGGATGATTGTCATGAGCTGGGCAGTTACCTATGGGTGAAGAAGGAGACTACATTTATGGCTCTTAAATGGGGTCTGAAGACATAGTGTGAGGACAGGGAGGTGTTGGAGTGCTTAGGGATCCAGGAACCTCTACCTGGATCAGCAAACCTACAGAAAGGGACTTGGGACAGCCACAGGGAGGAAACCACAGAGGTGCTTGTCGAGACACAGGGGTGGGAAGATGCCTTCCCAGCAAGGACCCAGCAGCAGGGGCACGGGCAGAGGCGTGGAAGTTTGCTGGGTCTCACTCCCTCTAAGCAAAACCCTCTGTGCCCCATGGTGCAGGTGCTGGCGTGACCACCCAGGACATCGGCAGCTCCCCAGGTCATGGTGAGCATGGGGATGGGTGGCAAAAGGAAGGTGTGTGTGTGTGGTGTAGATGTGAAGGAAGAGGGGGTTTGTCCTCTGCCTGCTAACACCTGGGAAGGGATCTCTTCTCTTTGTGCAACACAAAGCATTTTGCAGCCCCGTTGCTACTCCCATTTCAATGAGGGGAATCCCTGCCCCACTCTACAGGAGACCTCCCAGTTCCTGCCCTCATGTTGAACACCTTCAGTGCCCAGGAGGGATAAATGGTTTTTGTTCAGTGAGCCATTAATGGGCATTGTCCTGTTACCCAAACAGTCCATTGCAAAGATGGCGTGGAGCTGTCCCACCAGAAAGGGTATTCTGTACGTGTGAGAAAGCAGCCTATTTTTCTGGCTGTAAGCAGGACCTGGGGGCATCGTGTGTTAGTGCACGAAGATGTTGGAGTGCTTAGGGATGCAGGCACCTCTGTCAGGAACAGGAAAACAATTTACACACCAGATCCTTGGGGATCCGTGTTGCCACGGAAGTCTAAGGCACTTGCATGTTTCCCCTGGGGGTGGAGCTGCAGACACTCATCCTGTCCCTTTCTCTTGCCAGGCAATGCATCCAAGTCCCTGGCAGGGCCAATGGCTCCAGGTGAGTGATTCCCTTCTGCTCAATGAGAGCCCCCATCATGGGGCTCAGGGCTGCCAGGCTGCTGTCCCCAGGGCACGGGGCCAATGCAGGAGCTTCATCAGGAAGGAGGTGTGCCAGCTGCATGGGCACGTCCTGCTCCCTGCCTCTCCTCATCATACCCCGCTGCCCTCACAACCTCTGTCCCTCAACTCCCTATGCCCAGATCCCACACGCTTTCCCCACAGGCATGGCGCTGGCAGTGGCAGCCATCAGCCTCGTCCTCCTGGCTGCAGGCAGCTGGTTTGCCATCAGGAAAGGTGAGGGAGTGGGGGAAGGCGGGGGGAAGTCTGAGGCCGTGGGGGTCCTGCTGCAGTGCTGGTGCAGTGGGAAAGGTGGTGGAGGGAACCTGGGGGTGTGCAGCTGGGGCAGGCGCTGCCTGTTGGAAATGGCAGTTTTGGTTTATCCCTGCCAGCAGCTAAACACCACACAGCCATTCACTCACCCTCCCCCCACCCTCTCTGGGATGAGGGAGAGCAATGGGAAAGTGAAGCCTGTGGGTTGAGATAAGGACAGGTTATTAAGACAGGAAAATAATAATAATAATTATAATAATGATGATAATAGTACTACTACTAATAATGTGTACAAAACAAGTGATGCACAATGCAATTACTCACCACCCGCTGACGGATGCCCAGCCTAACCCCGAGCAATCCAGCCCCCCCCCAGCCTGGCTAGCCACCCCTATATATTGTTCAGCATGACATCAAACGATACCCCTTTGGCTAGTTTTTGTCATCTGTTCTGGGTCTGTCCCCACACAGCTCCTGCTGTACCCCCAGCCTGCCCACTGGCAGGACAGAGTGAGAAGCTGAAATGTCCTTGGCCTGATGTAAGCACTGCTCTGCAACAATTAAAACATCAGCATGTTATCAGTGCTCTTCTCATCCTACGCCAAACACAGTGACCTAACTGCTACTAGTAAGAAAATTAACTCTAGCCTAACTGAAACCATGACAGCAGCCCAGATGGGGAGGCTGCTGAGGGAGCTGGAAAGCTTCAGCCTTCATCCCCCAGCCCTGAGATGGGAGCCAGGGCTGGGCAGCACCTTGGCCTGTGCACCTCAGCCCCTGTTCTTCTTGCAGGTGCCTGCAGAGGAAGATGCCCAAGGTGAGCACCAAGGGCTGCTGGCTGTTGGGGTTTGTTGGAGGGAGTCGTGGGCATGGCAGGGCCCTGGGCTGCTTCTTGGCCAGGGGCAGTGTTGTCTGTGTGTGTGGCTGCATTCCCTGTGCTGGAGGCAAGGAAGAAGGGGCTTCCTCTGGGCTTCACTCCAGCTCAAGGCCAGATGGATTATAGCATCATCCATGGGAATGGCCCAAATGCCCCCATGCTGCTTTCTGTCAGTTGTGCTTCAGGCTCTCAGGGCCTTTTCTCTTTGCTACCTCTAGGCCTCTCCATGGTGCTGGTAATGATGAGGACTCTTCTGCTGACCCCAGCCATTACTGTAAGTGCCAGTCACCCTTCACCCTTCTCCTCTAGGCACTGTGTGAAGTGCTGATGCCTTTGCCATGGCAAGACATGGATGTGAGGGCGACTGTGGTGGGAGGTGGGGAAGCCCTGCCTGCTGTGTGTGGCTGGACACTAACTCAGGTTCTCCCTCCAGATGCCAACATGGATGAGATGGGCAGAGTGAAGGTGAGTTCAGCCCAAGCCCATCCTTGCAGGCGGGCATGCACATGATGGCTGCAAGACGCCAGGCTGTTGGAGAGCAAATGCAAGCAAGAAGTGCATCCGATGGCAGGAGCCTGGGAGCTTCGCGTGGCTGTGCTCTGTCTGAATCCCCCTCCTTCCATGCTCCCAGCATTTCCCCATGGTGGGCACCGCCAGATCAAGTCTACTGCTTGTTCTCCCTTGTGTTTTGCAGCTCTCTCAATCCAACTGCTCTCAACACCCACTGAATGCCTAAAGCTGAAATGTGAGAAGTGTGATCCAGCTCATTCTCTGACAGAGGCAGAAAACACTGAGGAAAACCGTGCTGATCTGTGAGCTGTGAATAAAGTTATCCCAAACAGGAAGGAGCTGGTGTAGTTCTTCTTGGCAAGGTCTGTCTGCAAGGCTCTTCACATCCCTTCAGATCGACACTACCACCCCTTTGTGTCTCGGTGTCTGTCTGTCTGCTCCGCCCCATTCCATGTGTGGCTGCATGAGACAGAGGTACCATCAGGAACACAAAGTCAGAGACGTTTATCAGTCATCTGAACAAAACCACATCTGCAGTGCACACACCGGTTGGCACACACATGTAAGTGCATCCCTGCAGTGATATCTATCCTTGTAGGTCCAAATGTATGTCTGTGTGGGTGCATAGAAGAGCACACCCGTTACTTCATAAAGCAACTTAGTTGTATACATATTCCACTGTGCACTGGGAGATGTTTTCTCTCACAGAAGAAAAATCAGTACAGTCACAGTATGATATGGTATATCTCATATATTTTAGAGTTATTAATGTATTGTAGGTGGAGGTGTGAGTCCTACATCTTCTTGGCTAGACACACACAGCCCTTCCCTGTGATAGCAAACTGCAAAGAAGCTTGAAGTGCACCCTCCAGCCCCATGTTACAGCTGCACAAGTCCTCTGCAAGACAGCAAAGGCAGCCATGGGCAAGGTTCCTGTGCCCTTGCCCTGTGGTAGCGCTATCAGGTCTGGGTGCGGGTCACCGTGGCATATGTCGTGGTGTCGCTCATCTGCTGCACGGGAGGAGGCTTTAGGGGGAAAAGAAACCCTGTTACTTCAGCTGCTGACTGTGAACCCTGCACAATGAGCAGGCACCAGGCTGTAGAAGTGCAGAAAGGAGCTGTACACAGCAGTGCCACGACTCACCCTGTCCCGTTGAACGTGGGCGATGGTGGAGTCTGCGGGGACAAAAATACACACCATGAGCCCTTCCTGCCTATTGGAGGAAGGTGAATCTCCACAAGCTTTGTGCACCAGCTGCCTGCGGTCAGTACTGAATGCCTGGCCACATTTCCCCTCCCTTCATCCTGCTCTGGGATGCGCAGCAAGCAGCAGTGGAGCAGAGATGTTGAGGTTTTGGTGTATTTCCACCATTCTGTGGCATCTCCTCTCTGCACAGCCAGCACACCTTGAGAGCTGCTCTGTTCAGGCGTGGGAAAACAAGGTAGTTCTGCAACTCGAGCACAGTGCACGTAGGGTGGGAATATATCTATAGCCTGTGACCCAACCACAACATCCTCCCTTGGCTGCTGCCTGTGGTTTCAGAGTGAGATGTAAGATATTTTCTTCAGCAGTTCAAGGAAACAGCCACAGTCTTAACTGCTATGCTGTGCAATGCTTTGCTTTTGAAGCAGAAATCCCTCTGAAGGTAAACTGAAGAAAGGACAAAAACAGAGGCTGGAGTGGGGGAATTGCAGCTTGCGGACAAAGCAGGGAAGGACGCCACAAGCAAAAGGGCTTTGTCCCTCTGAGCACTGGGATGCTGCCATATCCCTTGTGCAGGCAGCAGCCGTGCGCTGCATGCGAGGAACTTGGGAGAAACCTGGCCTTGATTAATGGGCAGGGATTTAGTATGTCCCAGAGGGAAATGAAGTGATGGGATTGCATGGGGAGTGTATGGGCAGGGATCCCCATCGGGAGAGGAGTGCACAGGATTCTCTAAGGGAGAGGAGCATGTGGCTTCCCCCAAGGGAGGAGGTAGTACTCACACTGGATGTCACCACAGTTGGTGTCTTCCGTCTGTGGGCTGTCAACGTGCTGCTGCCTGGAGAGGAATGGAATGGTTCTGGGATGTGCATGTGCTGAGGAGGGGTCATAAGATTTATGCATTTTGTTGTTGCTTTCCTGAATTTGGCATTGAGATGGAGTGCATCCCACAATAAGCCCCATGCTTTCTGCCTTCAGCACAGGGAATGCCCCTGAACAAGGAGCACACCAGGGCCCCGCCATGCACCCAAACTCCCTCCCACAAACCCCACAGCCAGGAGCCCTTGGTGCTCACCTTGGGCATCTCATTCTACAGGCACCTGCAAGAAGAACAGGGGCTGAGGTGCACAGACCAAGGTGCTGCCCAGCGCTGGCTCCCATCTCAGGACTGGGGGACGGAGGCTGAAGCTTTCCAGCTCCCTCAGCAACCTCCCCAGCTGGGTTGCCCACAGCCATCGCCCCCAGGCACAGTCTGACCCAGCTGTGCACCCCCAGGTTCCCTCCACCACCTTTCCCACCGCACCAGCACTGCAGCAGGACCCCCACGGCCTCAGACTTCCCCCCGCCTTCCCCCACTCCCTCACCTTTCCTGATGGCAAACCAGCTGCCTGCAGCCAGGAGGACGAGGCTGATGGCTGCCACTGCCAGCGCCATGCCTGTGGGGAAAGCGTGTGGGATCTGGGCATAGGGAGTTGAGGGACAGAGGTTGTGAGGGCAGCGGGGTATGATGAGGAGAGGCAGGGAGCAGGACGTGCCCATGCAGCTGGCACACCTCCTTCCTGATGAAGCTCCTGCATTGGCCCCGTGCCCTGGGGACAGCAGCCTGGCAGCCCTGAGCCCCATGATGGGGGCTCTCATTGAGCAGAAGGGAATCACTCACCTGGAGCCATTGGCCCTGCCAGGGACTTGGATGCATTGCCTGGCAAGAGAAAGGGACAGGATGAGTGTCTGCAGCTCCACCCCCAGGGGAAACATGCAAGTGCCTTAGACTTCCGTGGCAACACGGATCCCCAAGGATCTGGTGTGTAAATTGTTTTCCTGTTCCTGACAGAGGTGCCTGCATCCCTAAGCACTCCAACATCTTCGTGCACTAACACACGATGCCCCCAGGTCCTGCTTACAGCCAGAAAAATAGGCTGCTTTCTCACACGTACAGAATACCCTTTCTGGTGGGACAGCTCCACGCCATCTTTGCAATGGACTGTTTGGGTAACAGGACAATGCCCATTAATGGCTCACTGAACAAAAACCATTTATCCCTCCTGGGCACTGAAGGTGTTCAACATGAGGGCAGGAACTGGGAGGTCTCCTGTAGAGTGGGGCAGGGATTCCCCTCATTGAAATGGGAGTAGCAACGGGGCTGCAAAATGCTTTGTGTTGCACAAAGAGAAGAGATCCCTTCCCAGGTGTTAGCAGGCAGAGGACAAACCCCCTCTTCCTTCACATCTACACCACACACACACACCTTCCTTTTGCCACCCATCCCCATGCTCACCATGACCTGGGGAGCTGCCGATGTCCTGGGTGGTCACGCCAGCACCTGCACCATGGGGCACAGAGGGTTTTGCTTAGAGGGAGTGAGACCCAGCAAACTTCCACGCCTCTGCCCGTGCCCCTGCTGCTGGGTCCTTGCTGGGAAGGCATCTTCCCACCCCTGTGTCTCGACAAGCACCTCTGTGGTTTCCTCCCTGTGGCTGTCCCAAGTCCCTTTCTGTAGGTTTGCTGATCCAGGTAGAGGTTCCTGGATCCCTAAGCACTCCAACACCTCCCTGTCCTCACACTATGTCTTCAGACCCCATTTAAGAGCCATAAATGTAGTCTCCTTCTTCACCCATAGGTAACTGCCCAGCTCATGACAATCATCCCACTTCCCCTGCCATAAGAGCATCCGTGTACAGGGCAGACCTTGGAGCATCCCTGGCTCAGCACAGCATCCATTGAAATCCCCAGCCAGCCCTTGCTCTCTGTGCATGGGCCCTGAATAGTGCCAATATCTGCCATAAATGTGATGCTGCAGGAACAGGGGAAGCCTTGAGAGCAACTCTCTCTAGAGGGGCTGCCTTGGAGGAGAGGGAACACCCACGGGGGAACCGTCCCAGAGCTATGCCCTGCCTGCTGCAGCACACAGCTCCAGCCTCAGCACAGCCATGTGGTGGCAACTACCTCCGTCCCTTCTCACCCCTCCAGCCTGGGGCCGTGTCTCACCGGGGACATGCAGGATGCGGCCAGCACTGAGGGCAGAGCTCCTTACTCGGTTGTTGTCATCTTTGAGCTGGTATCCACACATGTACGTCCCCTCGCTCCCCTGGGTGACCTTCAGAGTGATGGTGTAGATCAGTTTTCCTAGTTGCCCTTTCAGGCTGTGTGCCTCCATCCTGTCCTTGCAGAATACAATTCGGGTAGGGGCTGAATGACCATCAATGGTACAGCGAAGCGAAAACGATTCCCCTTCCTGAGCACTAGAGGTGTTCAGGAAGAGGGCCGGAGCTGTGAGGTCACCTGGAGAGACAGTGCAGGGATTCCCTATGCAGCTTTATTGACGGCAAAGATGCAAAGTGAGCAGGATCCCAAATGTTGAAAAGTCTCTTGTCCGGGGCTTCAGACATGGAGAACAAATCCCCTCTCCCTTCCCATCTCCACCCCCGACGCATCTCCCTTCTGCCACCCATCCCCACTCTCACCATCACGTGTGGAGTTGCAAATGTCCTGAGTGGTCATGACAGCACCTGCAGCATGGGGCAGAGAGGACTTTGCTTAGGGGGGAAGTGACCTGGCTCACCCCCACCTCGCTGCCCACATTTCCCCTGCTAGATCCTGACTGAGAAGTCTCCTTCCTACCTGCAGGTCTCCTTCCAGAAACTACTCCATGTCCACCCTTAGCAACCATTCCAATTTCCTCTGGATGTGTTTCCTGTTCCACATTAAGTCCCATAGCTCCCCAAAGCATCCAGTATTCTGAAAGTCTTGCTCTAAGACTCCAGACAACTTTTTAGTGCTGGAGAAAAGGGCCCCTTGCAAGATCTGTGTCATAGCTGGAGGAAGCCATCCCCATCCTGCTTTCCCCCAGATAATTCTGCCCCACACTGCTGCATGCGTGCCCTGCACACCTACTGTCCCCTCCTTCCCTGTGCCCAGCATGGGTCTGTCCTACCCCCAGCAGCAGCCCTTCCACCCTCAGCCCCCACCCCCAGCAATGCCCCAACTCACAGAGGGCCAGCAGCAGGACGGTAGGGCCAGGAGGAGACAGCCTTGCCCATGGCGCCTGCCCCAGCATCTTTTTGGGCGCTGCTTTTGGGGAGCAGTGTCTGCTTCAGGTGTCTGCTTTGCTCTGGGCTGGGGACAGTGGGACGGAGGCTTGCAGTGCAGCCAGAACCCGTACTGTGGGCTTTCTGTGGCTGCCTGAGCCTGGACCACACTAAAAGGTTCTCATCAGTGAGGGCCCTGCCTCAGCCCCTGCTGTATCCGTTGTATTTTGAGAGCCCCCGCTGTTATTTTTGTCCTCTCAGACACCGCAGCACACGTGGCTTCTATTTGTATCTCAGGGGCAGCATTCTCTCTGCAATGCCCTCCTGATCGTTGTCCCAATACTGCTCACTGCTTTGCCTTCGTCTGACCATGTCACTCTGGCATCACCAGCTGGGTAGATGGAGGGAGATCCGTGGATGTCATCTACCTAGACTTTAGCAAGACTTTGGATACTGTCTCCTCGACATCCTGCTAGCAAAGCTGAGAAAGTGTGGGATGGATGAGTGGGCAGTAAGATGGGTTGAGAACTGGCTGACTGGCCAAGCTCAGAAGGTGGTGATCAGCAACGCAGAGTCCGGCTGGATACCTGTGACTAGCGGTGTTCCCCAAGCATTTGGACTGGGTCTGGTCTTGTTCAATATCTCCATCGATGACCTTGGTGAAGGAATTGCATCCACCCTCAGTAAGTACGCCGATGATACCAAGCTGGGAAGGGTAGCTGACATACCTGAAGGCTGTGGTGCCATTCAACAAGACAGGCTGGAGAGCTGGGCAGGAAGAAATCAAATGAAGTTTAATAAGAGCAAGCATAGAGTCCTACACCTGGGAAGGAACAACCACATGTATCAGTACTGGCAGGGGGACAACCTGCTGGAGAGGAGCTCTGCAGAGAAGGACCTGGGTGTACTGGTGCACGATAGGTTAGCCATGAGCCAGCAGTGTGCCCTGGTGGCTAAGAAGGCCAATGGGATTTTGGCGTGCAGTAAAAGAAGCGTGGACAGTGGGGTAAGGGAGGTGATCCCCCCCCTCTACTCTGTCCTGCTCCAGCCTTACCTGGAGTACTGTGTCCAGTTCTGGGTTCCCCACTACAAAAAAGACAGAGATCTCCTGGGAAGAGTCCAGCTGAGGGCCACTGTCCTGGTTTCAGTTAGGCTAGAGTTAATTTTCCTCCTAGTAGCTGTTAGGGTACTGTGTTTTGGATTAGGATGAGAAAAGTGTTGATAACACGCTGATGTTTTAATTGTTGCAGAGCAGTGCTTACACCAAGAGCATTTCAGCTTCTCGCTCTGTTCTGCCAGTGGGCAGGCTGGTGTTGCAGCAAGAGCCGGGAGGGGACAGACCCAGAACAGCTGACCCAAACTAGCCAAAGTGGTATTCCATATCATCTGATATCATGCTGAACAATATATAGGGGTGGCTAGCTGGAATGGATGTGGCTGCTGCTCAGGGATAGGCTCGGCATCAGTCCACAGGTGGTGAGCAATTGCATTGTGTATCACTTGTTTTGTACACATCATTTCTTTCTTTATTATTATTATTATTATTATTATTCTGTCTTAACTGTTGAGGGATTTTTTAAACAGCAAGGAGGCCATGATTTGCTGCAGCTGAGCAAACCAAGCTGCCAGGATGACTATGAGAAGTTCCCATGACAGTGTTCCCACATTGCCTGATTGAGGAATTTAAAAAAAATGTTGCCAGCAGCTGGCTTCAAGGACGGGATCTACATGACTGCTAATCACAGGGGGCTGTTTCCTTGCAGGTGGGATTGTTTTCTTGCAATTGTTTGTCTAAGTGCTTTTAACCAATAATCTTGGGTGAGACACTATCCGCTTCTGTTAAGTTTGCTATAAAAGTCAGGCTATTTGGGTAATAAAGGAAGAGCATGATCTGACCATACTCGTGTCTGTCATGTTTTCGGCCGTTTTTTCTGCAACAAATAACCTGTTTTATCTCAACCCACAGGCATCACTTTCCCATTTCTCTCCCCCATCCCAGAAAGGAAGGTGGGAGGGTGAGTGAATGGCTGTGTGGTGCTGAGCTGCCAACCGGGTTAAACTACAATAGCCACAAAGATGATATGGGGCCTGGAGCATCTTCCATATGAGGAGAGGCTGAGGTCACTTGGCCTGTTTAGCCTTGAAAAGAGGAGGCTGAGGGGAGACCTCATTACAGCCTAGAGCTTCCTCGTGAGAGGGAGAGGAGGGGAAGGCGACAATCTATTCTCTTTCATCACCAGTGATAGGATTTGTGGGAATGGTGTCAAGCTGAGGCAGGGGAAGTTTAGGCTAGACATCAGTAAGAGGTTCTTCATTGAGAGGGTTGTCGCGCACTGGAACTCCCCACAGAAGTGGTCACTGCACCAAGCCTGTTGGAGTTTAAGAAGCATTTGGACTGTGCACTTAATCACATGGTCTGAAATGTTGGATAGACCTGTGTGGTGCCAGGAGCTGGACTTGATGATCCTTATGGGTCCCTTCCAACTTGGGATGTTCTATGATTCTATGATGCTATGACTCTAATATTTACAAATACCTTAGGTGTGGGAGATGGAGGGATATGAGCAACCTCTTTTCAGTGGTTTGTGGGGACAGGGCAAGGGGCAAAGGCCACAAAATGGAACACAGAATGTTGCGCACCAACATGCGAAAGAACTTCTTCACGGTGAGGGTGACAGAGCTCTGGAAAAGGCTACCCAGGGCAGTTGTGGAGTCTCCTCTGGAGATATTTAAGACCCATCTGGACTCTTACCTGGGCAACCTGCTCTAGGGAACCTGTTTTGGCAGGGGAGGTTGGACCCAATATTTCTGGAGGTTCTTTCCAACCCCTACAATTCTGTTATTCTGTGATTCTCTGATCTAGGTTGGAAGAGACCTCCAAGATCACCTACTCCAACCACTGACTTAACACTAACAAGTCCTCCACTAACTGTACCACTAAGCTCTACATCTAAACATCTACCCGCCCTGGGTAGCCTGTTCCAGAGCTCTGTCACCCTCACCGTGAAGAAGTTCTTTCGCATGTTGGTGCGCAACATTCTGTGTTCCCTCCAGGGATGGTGACTCAGTCACCTCCCTGGGCAGCTCATTCCAATGCCTAACAACCCTTTTGGTAAAGAAGTTTTTCCTAACATCCAACCTAAACCTCCCCTGGCACAACTTTAGCCTATTCCCCCATGTCCTATCCCTGGGCACATGGGAGAATAGACCAAGCACCACCTTACTACAGCCTACTTTAAGGTACCTATAGGAGCAACAAGGTCACCCCTGAGCTTCCTCCTCTTCTCCAGCCTAAACAATCCCAGCTCCCTCCCTACTGTAGTTGCCTCCCTACATCCTCTGACAACAGTCTTATACTCCTCTCAAGAGGCCATACCCTCCTTCGATGATCTGTAAACTCTCCTATTCTGCTTGACTTTGACCAGTGCTTCCTTGTTAACCATGCAGGTCTCCTCGTTCTCTTTCCTGACTTTCTACCCATTGGGATGCTCTGATCTTCAGTTTGGAAGTAGCAGTCCAGGACGGGCAAATAGACCAGGATGAGGCTCTTTACCTTCAAGTACCTTGTCCCAGGTACTTGATTTCTGCTAACAATTGCTTGAAAGGCAACAAAACTTGTCCCTGCTGAAGTCCAGGGTTGCAATTCTGCTTGGTATTCTGTTCCTGCCCCATGAGACCCTGAACTGCACCATCTCATGGTCACTCCAACCAAGGCTGCCCTCAACCTTCACCACTTCAGCCAGCCCCTCCTTGTTAGTGAGGACAAGATCCAGCAGTGCTCCTCTCCTAGTTGGCATATCCACCATTTGCATCAGGAAGTTATCATCAGTGCAATGGACAAAGCTCCTGGACTGTGTATGACTGGCTGAGTAGGCCTTCCAGCAAATGTCAGGGTAGTTGAAATCCCCCATGATAACCAGGGCCTGTGATCAAGAGGTTGCTCTCAGCTGCCTGTAGAAGGCCTCGTCAGCTTTCTCATCCTGGTCTGTAACAGACATGCACAAACTGCATCCCCCATGCAGCCTGCCCCTTAATTCTCACCCACAGACTCTGAACTCGCTCCTCATCTACCCCTGGACAGTACTCAATACAATGGAGTTGCTCTCTCACTTGAAGAGCAGTTCCGCCACCTCACCTTGCTGGCCTGTCTTCCTGAGCAGGACATAGACATCCATGACCACATTCCGGCCATGTGAGCTGTTCCCACCATGTCTCTGTAACTGCCACCAGATCATAGTCTCCTGATCAAATATGGATTTCTAACTCCTCTTGCTTATTCCCCATTCTATGTGTACTGGTTTCAGGCACTTCAGGGAAGAGCTGAGCACGCTGATTTCACCCCATGAGGGGTGGGAGGCCTCCCGGTCTTCATCACTGCAAGGGCACTGCCCCCACCAGTACAAGCCCAGCTACAACCCTATCCCCCTGTGGAGCTAGTTTTAAAGCTCTCCAAAGGAGCCCTACTAATTGCTGTCCCAGAACCCTCTGGACCCTGTGAGATAAACCTTTCCCAATTATTCCTCTCAGGACTGGTGTCTTATAACACCAGCTGTTACCAAACAACCAAAAGCCGGGCCTGTAGCTTCAGTCCACAGAGCCAAACATTTATGGACCAGATCCTTCTATTCCATCCCACATCACCACCCTACAATGCCAGGAGGGAAGAGAAAGGGACTTGTGCTCCAAACTCTTTCATCAACTGTCCCAAGGCCTTGAAGCCTTTATCCATTCCCCTCAGACTACAGGATGCAGCAGCTTCCTCCACAGCTGTCTGCAATATCATTAGTAGATAGTAGTATGTGAACCACAGCAGGCTGATGAGTGTCCTGGTGATATCTCTGATCCAGGCTCTAGTAGACCTCGCACTTCCCTTCAATGAGGGTCAGCTGTGCATATTGGGCCCACTGTTCACTCTCGGAAGGGAAGTGGGATAGGTAGGGAGGGAGGTTTGCCCATCACGCCCAAATGGGACTCTAGCTTCCACCCCTCCTCATCTATTTCGTGCACTCCCTCTGCCTGACAGTGACAGGGCAGGGGACTCCACCACCCTCTGGGGGCATCTTCCGGGTGCTCTTTTCTTTTGCACACCACAGTGTTGCTCCCCCAGGCATCTCTGCTCACACAACCTGGTGCACCTTAGTCTGCTCCTCAGCCTGCTTGTAGT